AGCCCCTCAACGTTTGTACAAAGCATCCACAACAGGGCGTCACACATTCTTCACCAAAGCTCTTGCAAACCGTGACTCCAAATACTACCTGGACCTCCCAGATACTCATAACAACAGCCGTTGCTACAAGTTCAATGGAACCATGTTATGTTCTTGGGTGGAAGATCCTCGGTGATTCGGAGGTGAAGCGTAAGCCAAAACGACATCCATCTGAGCTTTGTGTATATTGGGGTTCTATATTTTCTATATTGGGATAATGGAAAACAAAATGGAAACTACTATAGTATATTGGGGTTATAATGGGTTATATTGGTATTGGGATACTGTAGGCCGTGCTTGCCACCAGGATGCCAAACAGCAGCAGTCCCAGCTCCCACTTCGCCTGGAGGGTTTAGGGTTTGGGGTTTGGGGTTTAGGGTTTAGGGATTAGGGTTTAGGGTTTAGGGGTTTGGATGATTTTTGGGGGAATGATACGTAAGCTTCTATACATAGAGGGCCATGAGCGGTGGGGACTAAGAGGTGTGGGCCATGCTGAAGGGTGGGCCTTACCGTCCCTATGAAAAAAGACTTCCCAGAACGATCCCTAATTCTTGGACACCCCATATGCCATAGAGACCTGCTGAACACAATAATGTCCTTTTGAGAAACCTCCATATCTAGCCATGACCTCTGGCTGAGGGAGCACAGGCTTACGGGAGAAAGGGCTAAGGCAACCCCCAAAAGCAAAGTACCCTTCACCTGCCATGCATGTGGTTGCGTCATACCGACACCAGGAAGCAGGACCACAAAATGGTGTCTACCAAAGGCTCCAAAGAACATACATTTTCAGCAGACCGAATTGCATCAGCGCCAGCAAGCAAGCAGACACAAGTTGGAATAGCGTGATGGGATGGATTCCAAGACGTACGCTATGCAAAAGTCATACCATACAGCATACAGGAATAATCGCATGCAAATACACTGCATTTTCTTCATCTTCTTGTGTGGTGATGTTGTTCGTAACCTATTAACTGCAGCTGGGACTCTGGCTCGCATGCGCTGATACCTCGCGTTACTCGGGGGATGTCAAAACTAGGCATCCCTTTTTTCACGCTGAGCCTGGGCATGTTTGGGGGCGCATTGCGTGGGCATCCCCTAGACTTGCCTTAGATGATACCGTGGAAGGTTCAAGAAGGGGCAAATATCCATAAAGAATATTTGAAAAAAACTCAAAAAGTCCATTGCGCGGGATCGCAAACCTTTTTCGATTTTCAATTTGGCCTATAGGCCCCTGGAAGCCAGAGAAGGAATTATCTGTCCTCCTAGGCCCGTTGGCACATGGAAGCCCAAAAGCAAGCCTCTCTGATTTGCAGTTCTCAAACGCTTCATTCCCAGGGTTGAAAAAGCTCAGAAGGATGATACGCAGCTGCGGCAGTACAAAGTGTACTATAGTTCTTCAACTGCCTATATATATATATATAGGACCAATGCCTTGACTCGTGGTCCAACATCATGAAGCATTAGCGAAGCTGCTTGTGTTGTAGACGACCTCATCCCGGAGTATGCTGCGAACCTTCATGTCCTCGCAGATCTTCACATCTAGCACGTTCGGATTACCACAACTAGCTTGGAACACTCAAGTCTGTTTGGTTTGGTTTTGCGGCCTTTGGGGCCTTTGCATCTGAAATGTTGACAACTGTTCATGAAGGCCCACAAGCTTGGAAGATCAGACCCGAACAGAGGTAAGGAGCCATGTTGCAGATACCTTCCAGAGGCTAGCGGCTAATAGTAGCAGCAACGTGTACGCCATTTCCAAGCACTCGCCATTGCCCTTCAATTAATCAGGTGTACCGTACGTAAAGGCAGCTTCAGAGTGTCCACTTGCAACAACCACTACCAATTTATCCTTCCGCCTTGCCTCTTGAAGTGCAGTTGTTTCTCTGGGATATTGGTCCTAGAAATGGGTCACTGACTGGAGGCCCAATGATCAAGAAGCAAGAACGAATTGGAGACAGCATATACGAGGGTCAGTGAGGTCTCGCACTCCTTTCCGTGCTCGGCAGCTGAATCAACTGCTTCATTCCTTGAATCCTGCCCCTCATCCCTACATGAGCCATAGTCTAAGCTCCCAGTATCCCCCTTAACAACCCCTGCAGTAGTCCGCTGTACAGTCCTTCATAAGGAGTTTAGACTCTAGCACACATGGCCTACATCTCACCTCCCCACGCAAAGCTGGGGATAGGCTCCTCAAGCAAGCCTCAGATCTGTGGCTGGCATGGTACAGATTGCAGAGCTTGTCACTCAGCCCCAAACTGCTGCTAGGCAGAATTTTGAACTCTAGATTCTAGATTCGAGTGAATTTGCATTTGCCTGATGCGTACGTGCCCCTCTTTGGTTATGGTCCAGCGGAGTTGTAAGGTTCAGTGCTGACGGTTCGGACTTCATCTGCACAAACAATGCAGATAACGCAGCTATGAGGGCTTTCATAAACGGCAGGCACCAGCTGTTTAACCTAGTATATTTCCTCTTCCGTATTGTAGGATTTCCCAGAAACCTCTTATAAGGTAAGCTTCAGACTTGAAGTAAGACTTGAGCTTGTGTGCAACGCACGAAGCCCCAAACCAGGACCTGACATCGAATTATGGTCTCCCTTAAGTAGATAGAATATGGATGCCCAATATCATAAGAAGATATCCCCCATATTCTATCTTAAGGAGACTATAGAACAAAGCATCCGCACTGTGATAACACCTTCCTTAGACGGTCGAAGTGTCAATGGGAGACCCCCCCAAAAACATACCATTATAAGAAACACTCCCAGATTCTGAAAGGGCGCTGTGATTGGGATGTTCATTATCAGGACATAGTAGTTCCTCTTTGCTTTTCCATCCCTCTTTATGACCCCTTCATGGGGTTGGGTGTTGAAGGGCTGGGGGTATTTATTACTACAAGGGTATATACTCTGTATACACAAATATATATATATATATGCATATAAATATAAGTACCTACATCCCTACATATCCCCCATATCCCCTTTTAGGGGGTGGTGGGAGGTTGAGGGAGTCTTAGCTGAGGAGCTCAGGACCATGGCCCACTGGTGCAGCTCGGCTCCGATCTTCATGACGCTGCTGTAGGTGTATCGGTCCTCTATAAATGATGGTAATGGTGAAAGTAGTAATAGTCATATGGTCATCTGGTAATATTGTAACGTGGAAATGGATTAGAATAGAAATATAGTGATATAGTAACAGTAAGAGTAAAAACTATCATAAAGAAGAACTGCAATAACCAAAACAATGACAACTGCAAGAATGAAACAACACCGATGGCTTTTCTACCTGTTCCCCCCAAATAAATACCATGATAGCATCTAACACCCGTCAACCTCGAAAATTACGGATATATGAGCTATAGTCCCAACTCCTAGTATCCCCCTTAATAACCCTTATAGTACTCCCCTATATAAGCCGCTATGTAACCCCCTTCAGGGAGTTTAGATTAGAGCTCATATAGGCTAGTATTAAAGCATTGGCATTGGGGAACTCCAGGAAGAGGATTTGGGAGTTAGGGGGTGCATTCGTGGCCTAAGGAAACCCTAAACCCTAAACCCTAAACAACCCTAAACCGTAAACCCTAAACAACCCTAAACCCTAAACCCTAAGCCCTAAATGTGCGGGAGCTAGGGGCTCCATATTATGGAATCTGACTCCTTCCGTGAAGAGGAAACGAATTGGGGAAGCCGTCGTGTATTGCATAGGTAGCGTACGCCAGATTCTGAGATGTACGCAGTGCGCTTGAAATACAAAAAGAGATCATAGAATTCCGTTCAGCATTCGGGCTGGATTCTAAAGAATTTATGTTCTAAGCTAAGCATTCTAAGGGTAACGGCATGCGGGTTACGTTCCTGGACCTGCCCAAACTCTAACAGTGCAACCCTGCACCCAAGCCCCTCCACCCGCAGCCTCCCCCCCACCCTCCATTAGCCTGCAAACAACACAACTCCAAAACAGTCAGCCTCTGACACCCTAAGTCCCAAAGTTCTTACCTTCAACTCACCATACCACGCTCATCACATGACCCCCACGGTATAAAGGATCTCTGTACCGGCACGCCACATTTTCAGATCTGCCATGTGTGTTTGTCTCAACTACTTTGAACAAATGACAGTGTAAGCAGCCCTCACATCCTTGCAGCTCCTCCGCTACACTCTTTTAGAAGCTGACATGGAAGCAAGGTTTGCGCAAGGAGTCGCCCTTCCAGCCGAGGCTATATTCCCAAAATTAAGGCTACCTTCTTTCTGGGGTCCCAATACTGAGGATTATAATATCTTGGGGTCTATACTGGAGTCCCCCTACAAAATGCGGTTCCACATGCTTTTGGGGGAGGGTATCGCCCCGTCCTGCGCCACGGCGACTTTAGGCATCTCCGCAAAGAGGAGCCAAGCTCGTTCTTGGCGTTGGGCCCTTCCCGCGCTCCAAAAAAGGCTTTCTTTCAGGGGTCTCACGATCAAAATGGAGCTGAACTTGAGATATGCCTTACAGCCTTACAGGATGTAAGGTCCTGGTGCTTAATAAGGACCTGCTAAGTTTTTGGCCTCCAGGATTGGGGCCCCTGTTGCACATTGAGAGCGTCAGCATAGTCTAAAAATCTCTTCTTCATGAACCCTAGCTGCCATGGCGAAGCTCCACAAACCCTCTGACCAACGTGGACTCAACTTGATGAGGTCATCTTACAGACGCATGTGATACTTGGACCTGTGAAAACTTGCATTCCGGCAAATACATTTCATAAGCCCACACTGCCGTGCAACTGTGCAAGAGCTGTAGGTCCGTCAACTGCTGGCTCTGCCATTTTTCGCTGCTGCCAGAGCAAGTTGTTGGGACGTCATGGGTGTCTCAAGGAGATGCTGTTTACTGTCACTGGTGCTGTGTACCGTCTTGAACATAGCTGAAGCTGGATGATGAGACAGCCCAAGACTGAACAGAGTACAGATATCCCGGCTCACCGCTACCACGCACTCACATTCCTGGCATGCCGGGCATTCCGCCGGGCATTCCTGGCATACCGGGCATTCCGGGCATTCCTGGCATTCCCGGCATACCGGGCATCTTGGGGAAACATCCTCCAGGCATTCCGCCTGGAGGGCCCCCAGGCATTCCGGGCATTCCGCCCATCTTGGGATAGCCACCTGGCATGCCTGGTGCGCCTGGTCCACCTGGTGGCATAGGCGGCGCCATTCCTGGGGCTTTGCCGGGCATGCCTCCGGGCACGGTGAGGCCAGGAAGGCTTGGGAGGCTAGGCATACCGGTTGCCAAACCCATGTTGGGTGGCGGAGTTGCTGCTGGCATCCCAGGCTTGGGAGGGATACCGGTGGGACCTGTCTGCGGCGCTCCTGGCATGCCGGGCATACCAGGCATTCCAGGCATACCGGGCATCCCGGGCAAGCCGGGCAAGCTGGGCAGCTTCGGAAGTTCTGGCAGGCCGGGGAGTGCTGGCAGCCCTGCTTTCGCGGGCACGGATCCGCCAAAGCCTGCGGTAGGGGCTGGCTCGGGCTTCTTCTCAGGAGGCGGTGCCTTCGGCCGCTTGGGCATGACGGTGTGGTCACGGCGGAACTTGCTACCAGCACGCTTGCGCTGGGAGAGGGTTAGCGTGATGCCATCGCTGAGGTTGTAGTAGGCAAAGGTGAAACGCTCCTCCAAAGTGCGAAAACAAACCTGACCCCTGGACCAGCTAAACTGCCTGCTGTGGACACCCATCATCCTATGCAGAAGCAGCGAAATGCAAAAAGGCTTGCCCACAGCTCCACGCTAGAAAGCAATCGTTAGGATCAGGATCTGCTAGCTAAAAGCTATGGTAGGCTCCACATACTTCAGTAGCGTAACGAATAACTCAAGCACACGAGTCCAAGACTAACCAACATTACAACAGCCCAGCTCCTTGAGGAAGAAGCCCACAGGATCATTGTGAAGCCTTTGGCCACGATTTAAAGATTGGTCTTTGCAAGTGACTCCTGGATTTAAACGAAATGTCAATGCGGGTTTTAGGGCAGTCCAACGGGAAGCCCTCTCACGATGCTTGCTTGAGACTACATACTTGCAATCCAGCACGTGCAGCACATCAGATACAACGGAACTATGCCCAGATGGTAAGAATATGAGGCGGCCAGGAAAAGACCCAGGACTCACCACCTGAATTGAGGCAAGGGGCATCATGCGATTTGCGGGAATTGACCGCACTCCCATAGCCACAAGCTTTGCCTGCGCTTCACGGACTGTGCGGCATTCAGCTCGGCAAAGAAAGCCAAACATGCGCTACCCTGATGACGGTCCGCTCGCCAATTGCATAGAATGTATTGGGATGTAATTTTGAAGAAGTGAACAAAAAGTGAGGCTCAAGGGCACAACCCAAGTCTTGTTTATGCAAACAACCACGCAGTTTGGCCTTGCCCCCCAATTTCCTGGCAGTTGAAGGACCATGTTCTTGGGTTCCAAACGGATCTGTTTGAAAGCTACAGCTAGACGGTCAACCATATTGACTTCCTGCAAGGCACCCCCTGCGAAACCATAGAATTTGGGAATTTCTGCCCGCTGGACCCTCAGAATGCGACAATCTCTCGATATCTTGAAAGGAGCTCTCATGTCAGTGGACCTGCCTTCACAGCAGCACAGGTCTCCGTGAGGGGGAGCTCCACAGTCACACTGTTCCTTGGGAAGTATAAGCTACAATCCCCTCACCCTTGTAGCAACCCCTTTGCTATTATCGGGGCTTTTGAGGCGTCGTCACTAGGTTGAATCTGGTTGTGCTGATCAATTGCCAAGCCGTCCTTGCTAGCAGGCTCGTGTAGGCCACGACATTAGCAGAAAAGAAATGACCTGCACATTGAATTACTCTCGTGTTTCAGGATGAAGCGCAGCTTTCCAAAACCTAGACCTCAGACGAACCAAGGCTGGCAAACGACAAAACGAACTGGTGGCTTTTAGCGGTGTAGGAACTAGATACACATCAACGCTCGCCGATGAAATGTATCATAACGATTGATTGTGTAGCTTCTCCACTTCTCCACCAAAATTGATGGACTTGGGTGCTTTCAGAAACAATCATGCGACCCTGGAGTTCAGAGCCACTGAAGCGGGGCAAAAGACCGAAAGTCACGGCTGAGAGGCTTCAAGGAGGAAGAATGCCACTGCGAATTTGCAGTCGTCTCTTCCTATCTCCACTTTAACCTCCCTGAAAACTCTCTCAACAATGTACTCCGCAGCAAAGCCCAAGTCTGCCGAAGCTTCATACCGAGCTCGCTCTCGACCACACTCCTGATTGGGTGAGTACGTTCCATGTAGAGTGGAATCAGTCAAAGCAAATGCCTCAAGTGAGACTTGATTTTACTTTTTTTGGCTCACGACTCAACCTAGGTCTGGTACCTTCTGAAGTTACGGGCCTGGCTGCATCGCTACTCGATGTCTTGTTCAGCCTGCTAAAAGGATCTATACCATGCGAGTCGGCCATGCGACACAAGAGTCCGGCGGTCTGTCTCAACAAAGCCTGGACATGGCACTTTGGTTGCTATCATCTCAACCAGGAAGCCTGCCCTGCATCTTCAGCCTTGATGGGGATGGCCCTCAAATAGCTAGTACGGCGCTTTCACATGCTCTCCTCCTGGTCTCATCTTAACTCCTGTTAAGACAACTTTCCACAGGAGTCATCTGCAAGGATAAGAGATTGAGGTCCTCTCTAGTGTAAACAGTGTACTGCATGCTGTTGCGACAATCCACCTGAGTTGCAGGCACGGGCCCTGCAGAAGTTTGTTTAATCATGTACAATCCGGATTGGCCCTGGCCCCCAGCACAGGTTACCCGACATCTCTGAAGTGCCGCCCGGCGTCACGTCCACATTGATTTTAATGGGCTTCTCACCCTTCTCGTCAAGCCAGTCCTGTCTAGTTGCTTCTAGCAACTGTTGGGCATGGAACACAAGCCGCAAAGCCACTCAGAGAAGAGACTCGCCCAAGGGCAGCATTAGCAACTATAACCAGAAGTCACCTGACCCCCACCACAGCAGAATTCCCACACACTCTCCGTAACACCCCAAAAAGTACTCCCAAACCTCCATCGTGCGTGACCCGCACTGTGAATCCGCTTCAGGTGTGCCA